TGATATTCACTTGCCTCGACAATTGTGGTAACCAGCTCGCTGGCCTCCTGCTTCTGCGACTGCAACCTCTGGCGCAACACCTGGAGCTGATCTGACAAGGACTGTGCTTGCTGCTCCAGGCTCTTGGCCGACAACGCCTGCGCCTTGGCGAACTTGAGCTTGCCCAACGCCGACTTGTGCTCCTCTCCATCTGGCTTCCACTTCTTCCAGAAGGTGACTTGAGCTTGAGCCAGGGCAACTGGGTCGTCAGCGGGAACTGCATCCTCGAAGGTGACCGCTCGGCCGCCTCCGCGCCCCAGGCCTGGTGGACGCTCAGGACCGCGGGAGCCCTTCCTCCAGCGTCCTGGCTTGGCCGGCTCCTCCTCGACGTCAGGCCGAACATCCTGGGAGCCACCTCCACCACCTTGGGGTCGAGCTGGGGGACCATGATCTCCGCACTGCTTGAAACGGCTGCCACACTGCATACAATGACGAGAATTAGTCGAGCACCAAGCCCAGCCTTTGCAGCCCCGCTTCGAGCAGACCAGGTACTTCTTCTGCTGGGCGGGCATCTCCTGATGGCGGCACGCTGGCGCACGCACACGAGAGGCCCTATGGCAGCACTGAGGCGGGACGTGATTGTGCCTCTGCCTGGGGCTGACCAGGCAGGCACGGGGGCAGAGCAAACAAGCTTGGGCCCCAGCACCCAGGGCCTGCCCTGGATGGCAAAGCTGAGACCTGCACCTCCCGCGGTGTGCTCAGGTCTTGAGCCAGGAAGAGGAGGAGGAGGAGGAGGAGGAGGAGGAGGAGGAGGAGGAGGAGGAGGAGGCGGAGGCGGAGCAGAGGCGGAGGCAGAGGGGAGGAGGGAGGAAAGAGGAGGATGATGAGGAGGAGGAGGAGGAGGAGGAGGAGGAGGAGGAGGAGGAGTTGGAGGAGCTGGAGGAGTTGGAGGAGGAGGAGGAGGACAGGAAAGAGGAGGATGAGGAGGAGAGAGGAAGGAGGAGGGAGGAATGAGCATGAGGAGGAGGAGGAGGAGCAGGAGCAGGAGGAGGAGGAGGAGGAGAGGAGTTGGAGGAGGAGGAGAAGGAGGTGGAGGAGGAGGAGGAGTAAGAAGAGGAGGAGGACCAGGGTAAGCCCAAGATTCATCAACGATGTTGGAATACACCTTTCCTCCAAGCTTCCTCTTCGCAGGCCCCTACAAGGGTTCATTACCACGGAGCCCCGTTAGGGGACAGCCGTGTGAAAAGCCTGAAGCGTGCCAAGACACCATTCACAGGGCTTTAACGCCACGGTTCAACCTGGATATTGCGTCTACGTAAGGGGATTCTGAATCGTGCCAGAACATTCCTAGGACTTCAACACAGCGAATCAACGCAATTGCTGCGCCCTGACAATCCTGAATCGTTCCAGACACCATTTCTGGTACGTTAGCCATAAGAGCAGTGAAATTGTTGCAAACGTTTGAAACGAATGTGGGCGGTGCTGGGGCGAGAGCCACATTCTGAAAAGGAGCCGCCCTCAATCCGTGAAGGTCTTGCACATGTTAAAACGAATGAATGTGCGCGGCGCTAAGGCGAGAGACGCGTTGAAAACGGCCTCTCCTCAATCCGTGGTACTCTTGCACATGTTTCAAACGAATGTTTGCGGCGCTACAGCGAAAGACGCAATCTGAAAACGGCCCGCCCTCCATCCGTGAAACCCTTGCATCGTCTCGACGTCGGATAAAACTGTTGCCAGCTTTGGTGCCCAAGGCTCATAATGGGTTCGGCAGTCCGGCGAAGCGCCCCGGCCCGCCCTTCGACTGGCCTCGGGGTGCGACACAGGGAGGAGCTGTTCATAAGGAGAAGGAGTGGAGGCTCCGCGCCCGCTTCGCCGCCCGCCGCGACGAGCCCTGCCCCACGCGGAGGTGTCCGACCCCACGGGCTACATTAGGACCGCGGTGGGCAGCTGCGGCGGGCTGGTGCCCCCCAGTGACGAGGAGCGCCCCCCTTCCGGTGCTGCGGTGCCCCCCCCCGGCCTCCCACGCCCGGAGAGCATCGAGGGGCGACACGACGAGGTAAAAAATGCCACGGGCTTCCGGACGTCCGCGCGGATGTCTTGGGTCCTGGACGCCTCCCTGCTGGCGCCTCCTGCGCCGCACCTGGCGCGCTTCGCTCACAAGGATCAAGTCGGGCGTGTCCCTCTGCAGGAGGAATTCCCAAATTCAGTCACAACACATAGTACGGGGATCATTGTTAGCTTATGTTGGGTTTTTGTTTCTGATTATTTTTGGGAAAACCTGTTTGATCAGTCTTGAGCATGGTTTGGTTGTTTTTGATGCTTCGTCCAAAATCCGCCTGTAGGTGGGCATGCCCGACCTCACACAAGGAAGGGGGTCCCAGCTCCGACCAGAAACCCTCGCGGCCGTCCGAGGCCGCGGGAGGGGGGGTGGGAGTGAGCCAGAGGCCCACGCACCCACACCGACCTTGGTCAGGCAGTCCCGAGCCAATGATGCGTGAGAGCGCTCTCCTGGTCGAGCTACGACGGCGTACATGGATCACTGGCCCGGGATGGGCCTGGCCAGAGTCGGGTGTGCAGTCGGCGTCCTCAAGAGCGGGGGGAGGGGCAGCTGCTGCTCCTCCTCCTCCAATCGCGCACGCTGTGCATTATGAGACAGCCGACGTGCAGTCGCTCCCGCAAAGCGGCGAGTTCAGGCTGGCATTGTCTTTTGCCCACGCGCTCTGGCGTATGGCACTTCGTTCGTTCGTTCGTTCGTCACCCTTGCGCGTAGCCGAAGGCTGTCCAGGCCCCGCCTCCCTCCCCAGACCATTTCGCGTCGCAACAAAAAAAGCGGGGGGAGGGGCCAGGGGGGAGGAACGGTGCGGCCTGACTGTCTGACTGCAGGCAGGCCTCGTCCCGTTCTGGACTGCCTAGGGGTGTGGGCGGGGATCCGGGGGGCTGGATGGAGAGGGGGGCCGGTTGTGGCCATCCTCCAGGTCCTCGCTGTCTTTTTCCTCCTATCTTTACTTAGCCTGCACTTTCTCCTGCTCTTCTCTTGAAGAGGATGATCAGGATGATGAGCGAGAATGAGAAGGCCAGAATGACCTCCTGGTCCTCATTATCGCGGTCCTCGCTCCCGCGTGGCATCAGTCAGCTCAAGCGACCGTAGCCGCAATGAGTGGATGTGTTTTGCAGGGCCAGAGCAGAGTCACCCTGTGAGAATACGTACTCCCCTCCACGTTTGGTCCACTCGCTCGCAATCGCAACCGCACAGCTTCGTCGGGCGCTTTGGCAGCTGCTCTGGGACGCCATCCGACTGCATCGACCTCTGCATTCGGAGCTTGGCAGCGCGCGCTTCCTCGCGCCGGTCGTCGAACCGAAGCGCTGGTGGGCAGAAACTCGTGACTGCGTGCTGAACGGAGGGCGCCGCGGCTGTGCACCAGGGTCATGCTCCGCAGCATGTGTCGCAGATTGCCTCGTTCTTGCTTGCTGCTGCGACGGTTTTTATCACGCGTGATTTCAATTGTTTTTGGATTGCCGCATCTTCGAGCGCCGTCTGCAGGATGGCGCCATCGACGGATTCTCTCTTCGCACAGCCACAGTGAAGGCAGTTGCCAACCTGTGGGCCCGAAGGCTCTGGCGGACCTCCTTCCTGAGGACTGGCATGCCAACCTGCGAGTCTCGCGGGCAGGTTCCGTGGCGGAGCTCGCCACGGCCTGAGCGGAGAGAAGGCGTGGAGACTTCGAGTCTACGGCTTTCTTCAGGATGGGCAGGAACTCGACGCCGATTGCCCGACGTAGTCCACCGACCATCCAGCCAGCCCAATCAGCGCACCGCCGTCCACGAACCAGTTGGGCCAAGCAACCAACCAGTCAGTCAGGGTAGCCAGCCCATCGCCGCCATCCCTCCGACCCCGCCGCCCGCTTGTTTTTCAAGGGAGGAAAATCACCCTGACCCGATAATTGGCGTTTACTAAACGGCCCTGGGCGTCCCTGCCCTGTTCGATTCCTTCTTTGGGCGCGTCTACTGAACGGCTTCGCGTGTCGAGGTGATTCTTATGGGGGTGGACTTTCTGCCTTCGATGTTTGTCACCACTGAGAGAGGGGGAACGTTTCCTGTGGGGCCTTCTGGTGCCCGCGGGGGCTCTCCTCCACCTGTCCAGGGCGTCGCGGGGCTGGGCTTCCCGGGGGGGTCCCTGGTGCTTCTTGCGTCCGCCAAGGGGTTTCCCGAGGCCTCCTGGGGCCTCCTCGGGCGTCATGCCGAAACCAAGTCCCCCAGCTGGTAACAAAAACTACACCGTGGTGCGCATTGGGTCCTCCTGGGCCCTTCTGGTGCGGAGGGCTTCTCGGGAGGAGGAGGAGGAGGAGGAGGAGGAGGTAGAGGAGGAGAAGGAGGAGGAGGAGGATGGAAGGACAAGAAGAAGGAATGATGGAGGAAGAGGAATGATCAGGGACGGATGAAGCAGATATGAGGAGGGGAAATAAGGAGGGACAAACATAACAAGGCCATTATGGCCCTTGACGTGCCAGGGCGCGGGGCTGCCCCCCGAAGAGGGCCTTGGAAGAACAGCAAGAACTCGTCAGACCGCCTGGCTGGTGGGATTAGCTGTGGGCTCCTGGAATCTACGCCTGTGCTCGGTGTTTCGGTCCTGCAAGGATCTTCCACGCGATAGGGTTCCGCACGATCGGGTCCGTCACCAGCCTTGCCGAGACGAAGCAGAGGTCAGCATCCAGTCTCCACGCGGGCATCCTTTCGCACGCGAGCCTCGGGCAGGCGCCGAGTGCGTGGCGGGGACCGCTTCCTGGGCCACGCCGTCGTCTCCCTCTCCTCGCGCTCCTGCGCCTGCTCCTGCCCCCCCGTATAGCCGACTTGGCTCAGGCCGTTCCCGCCCCGGGTAATGGCTCCAGCTCGCCCGCCGGCGGCGCCCCCAGCGCTCCGCCCGGCAGTTCGCGGGCCGCTTGCTGGCTCGCCGCTGGGACAGCGGCGGCGAGATCGGAGAGCAGCCAACCTTGGCGGGAGCACCCACGGCCGCGTAGGACGTGATGGTCGCCTCGGCCATCAAGGTGTTCTTGCGCATCCGGCCCAGCGCGCGCCCCTCGAAGGCGTTCAAGAAGTCCGACGAGGGCGTCGTGTCTTTCGACCTCGATCAGGTCAGGAAGGTCTCGGCGGATTGGGAGGTGAACAACAACAAGGCCACCTACCAGTTCAAGCTGGACCACGTGCTGGATATGAAGACCACGCAGGAAGAGGTCTTCGACCTCGTGGCGAAGCCAGTCATCGAAGACGTTCTTAATGGCATCAACGGGACCATCTTCGCGTATGGCCAGTCTGGGAGCGGGAAGACGTTCACGATCACTGGCGGCGCTGAGAGGTACGCGGACAGGGGCCTGATCCCTCGCACCATCGCTTACTTGTTCGAGGCTTTCCGGCAACGCCATGACGCTACGTATAGGCTGCACGTATCTTACCTTGAGATTTACAACAACGAGGGCTACGACCTGCTGTCGCGTGACGACAGCGCTCGAAGGTTGGAAGATCTGCCCAAAGTCACGTTGCGCGAGGACGAGGAGGGCAACACCCACCTCCGCAATCTCGACATGTGCGCGGCGCCGAAGGCGGAGGACGCGCTGAACTTGCTTTTTGTGGGCGATACCAACCGCGTGGTAGCAGAAACGCCGCTCAACGACGCCTCCACCCGCAGCCACTGCATGTTCATCCTCTGGGTGGAGTCGTCGCAGGCGGGCAGCGACACGGTGCGGAGGGCGAAGCTCCACCTAGTGGACCTCGCCGGCAGCGAGCGCCTCTCCAAGACTGGTGCAGAGGGCAAGCTCGCCACGGAGGCGAAGCAGATCAACCTCTCGCTGCACTACCTGGAGCAGGTGATCGTCGCGTTGCACGATCGGGCCCAGGGCCGAGCCACGCACGTGCCGTACAGGAACTCCATGATGACCTCAGTGCTTCGGGACTCGCTGGGCGGCAACTGCAGGACCGTCATGGTGGGCACGCTCGCCGTGGAGGACACCTGCGTGGACGAGTCGATATCCACCTGCCGCTTTGCGCAGCGGGTAGCCTGCGTCAAGAACAACGCCAGCATCAACGAGGAGTTGGACCCTGCCCTCCTGATCAAGCGGTTGAAGAAGCAGGTGGCGGAGCTCAAGGATGAGCTGAAGTTGCTCAACAGCGACGGCGAGGAGGAGCTGACCGAGAGGGACCGCGAGGAGTGTCAGAAGCTGGTGGCCACGTACCTGGCCGAGTCGGACCTGCAGGCCGCGTTCGTGTGTGGGTCCAGTGGCCGCTTCCGGGAGTGCTTCCGGATCTTGAAGGAGACCTACGGCCAGCGCCGGCCGGGAGGCCTCCCGCCGGCGGGGCAGCGCGGCGCCGGCGCCTCGCGCGTCGCCGCGCCCTCCGGCGGCGCCGCCCTCGGCACCCTGGAGGCCATGGTCCGGGAGTTGCGGCAGCAGGTGCAGCAGCGGGACGAGGAGATCAGCATGCTGTTGAGTTCCCTCGGCAAGAGGAGCAAGGCCCGAGAAGCGCAGGCTGCGGCCAAGGACGGCCCCGTCTTTATCAAGGCCGCCGCGGCGGCGCCCGCGGCGCAGGGTGCCGCGGCCGGCAGCGGTGGTGCCTCCACGGGGGCGCCGCCTGACGCCGCGGCCCTCCTGTTGGACCGGAACCAGGCCTTCGAGGTGTTCCGGAAGTCGATGCGGCGGAGTGAGACCCTCGAGGGGAGCAAGGAGGCTACTCGGCGTCTCGTCGCCGAGGCCAAGGAGATGGGGGAGAAGGCCAACGGCGCACGAGCGGCGATCGCCGAGAGGCAGAGGCACATCGAGAAGTTGCGCATGGAGCGCGCCCTGGAGTGCAACCCGCGTGACGTGTCTGCCGAGCGTCCTGCCTCGCCGCTCGACGGCCCCGAAGTGGCTGCGCTGCTGGCCGAGATCGAGGAGCACAAGCGGACGTACCACAAGTGCACAGAGCGGCTCAAGCAGGCGAAGGAAAAAATCGACGCGTACCGGCAGAGCGCCGAGCAGAACAAGGAGCGGATGCAGCGCGACTTCGAGGCCTGGTTCGCCGCAGCCCAGGCCGCCACCGCCTCGGCGCCTGGCCCCACTCTGCAGGGGCCTGCTGGGGGCTCCGGCCTGCCAGCGCCCGCGGCAACGCCGGCGCCCGCTGCGGCGCCGGCGCCCGCGCTGGCAGCCCCGGCAGCGCCGGCGGGGCAACAGCCAACCCCTCCCCGACATTGGGGGCGGGGGGGCGTTGGATTAAGCGGTAGAAAATATCCGGCGATCGCAAACATGGATTAAGGGGGCGTGGATCAGCGACAGGTCCCGTTTCCACGGGGAATCGCGGCCTTTCGCCGCCGAACGAGGCGGCACCGGCCGCATTTTTTGGGGGGAGGCACCTCCCCCGATCCATGGATTTGGCGACTGCGCGCCAAATCCATGGATCGGTAATCCATGTTTGCGCGCCCGCGAAAGTATGCTGCGTGCAGCTGGCTTCGGCCCCGTAGCAGGCCGCTGTCCTCGATACACGGGCATCTCTGGTGCTGTGATGCGCTGGGAAACCGAGCTGCCTGCAGCTGATTCGCTAAGCCCCCCCCCCCCTTCTCCTCTCTCCTTACTAACCCCCCCCCCAGCTGCCTGCAGCTGATTCGCAAAGCCCCCCCCCCTCTCTCCTCTCTCCTCACGACCCCCCCCCCCGTTTCGCCCACCCCGAGAGATCGGCGTCGCGAACAGAGAAGCCATAACCTCCTGAACAATCAGAGCCCCAGATCTGTCGAGCCCAGCTTCCTGCCGCACCTCTCGAGCTGGATCGATCCAGGACCCGCAGCGGGGCACGAACGCTTGTCGTGCTCTTGTGCTCGCGGCGCCCAGGCCCAGGGCCCCGGCACTCTCACGGGCCACGCGCAGACCGACGGCGACATCGCCGAGCTCTTCGCGGCCGTGGCCAGCCTGCGGAGCTGAGGTCTTCGCGGCCGCCCGGCGCGCGCCTCTGCTGCGCCGTGCTGGTGCTCCGCCGGGCCTGCTGCGGCGGTGCGTCACGCCTGCCCGCGCCCTCCGAGCACGGGCGTGGGGGGCTCTGCTCCTGCGCGTCGGCATCGTCCGTCTCTTCCTTCTCTTTGTCCTCCCCTTCCCCCTTCGCTCCCTCCCTGCTCCTTGTGCCGCTGCGCCTCCTCGATCTCTTTGCCGCCGCCGTCGTCGTCGTTGTCGTCCGCCTCCTCCTCCTCCTCCTGCCGTGTTTCGTCTTGCTCCTCGCCTTTCCCCCCCCAGGAAGAGCACCTCAGTGAGACAAGCAGGAGGAGGAGGAGGAGCAGGAGGAGGAGGAGGAGGGGGAGCTCTGAAGTGTCCCAGTCCTGCGACAACTGAGGGGCCTTGGTAATTACCTTCCCCAGCTCAAAAAGAAACCAGTCGGCCTGTGGAAGTGGGGGTGAGTATTGCGTCCCCCCGCCCTGTTAACGCTGTTGAGCTTTATCGCGTTGCTCTTTGCCAGTCGGGCCCTCACTCACATCGCGCCTGATGCAAATCTGCACGGTATCGAGTTGTGTAGAAGGATCTTGGTTGTGTACGTCATACATGGCATTGCATCTACATTGTTATACCATGTTCTGCGCTGCTGCTCTAAGCTGATACTGTAATCGGAATGCTATGGCATATGACGATGCCGTGCTGGGTTTGGCAGTACAGTGCAATGTAGGTGTGTCACGACATGGTGCAACAGGTTGAGATTTGCTACGTGCTGCTTTGCCATACTATGTGTTGCAGACCGCGGTCTGACGTTTCAGTGCAGTGCATCGCTCAGCATTGCGCATATATGCATGACGCCTGTTACTAGTTGGGGTCGCGCTGCCTTCACCAGGGCTTTCCCCTTCCAAATCGACCCATCGAACTGCAGCCATAATTAAGAGAGTGGATGGTCCAGCCCTGCGCAGTTGCCTCGCTGGGCGAGGCCCTCTCCCAAACTACTGTGCACCGCGGGAGGGATGCTGTTCTGGGCGGCTCCGATAGGGGGCTGCGGAGCAGGCTCGCAGAAACGCGCTGAGCTCCCAATGTGGCACGATCCGTGTTAGGGGTGTGCCGAAATCGGCTGGGGACCGCACGCGTACAGCCCCACTGGGGCCGCGAGTGTCCCTCAATGGAGCACGATCCGCGTGAGGGGTGTGCCCAAACGGGCTGGGGACGGCATGCGCACACTAATGGGGCACGGTCCGCGTGAGGTGCGCCCAAATGGGTTGGGGACGGCATGCGCACACTTCCACGGGGGCAGTATGTTAAGTTCCCTGTAGGGCACGACACGTGTGAGGTGTGTTCCGAAATTGGCTGGGGGGCGCTATGCGTTCCCCTTTCCCTTTGGCTATAGCTGGAACTCCCTATGGGGCACGAAACGTGTGAGAAGAAGGCCGAAATGGGCGTGGAAACGCTATGCTGCCACACCCCCTGCAAGTTCAATGGAGGTCCCTATGGGGCACGAGTCGAAACGTGCAAGCGGTGCGCCGAAATGGGCAGGGGGACGCTATATGGCCACCCCGCTTTGGGCTGCAAGTGAAGTCTCCATATAGAGGGCGTGAAACGTGCAATGGGTGCACCGAAATGGGCGGGAGGACGCCACGTGGCCGCTCCACCTGTCGGCTGCAGGTGCAGAGATGGCACACGTGCACTGTACGTGAGGTGTCCCGACGCTCTGAGCGCGAACGGCCCCGTGGTGCGTCCACCCACGGCCGACCCATTCCTGGGATGCGCAAGCGTCACGCCATGCCTGCGACATCGCGGTGGCGGTTGGGTTCTGTGCAAGATGAGTACGAATGAGTCTCAGTGTGTGTGTGTGTGTGTGTGATGTGCACGGCTACGTCTGAGCCTGACTGCGCCTGGATATGGGCGATTCTTGGGTATGAATGGGCTGCGTATGTTCAGCCTCTGTGCGAGTGAGTCTGTGCATGAGTGCGTCCGGGTCTGAGCGAGTGAGCCAACATGTCGGAGCATGAGTAGAGTGGGTCTGAGTGTGAACGGGTCCGTGCATGAGTACGCCTGAGTGTAAGCGGTTCGAAGCCTGAGTGATCTGAGTACTTACGCAGGACGAAAGATTTTCCTCTTGACGTGCAAATGGCCATGAGGAGTTCACAAGACAACGGCGCCATAACGGACGGCGACCAGACGAGCTGTTTGCAGCAACCGGGGTGAGAGGGATGTATGTATTCATTTTGAATGGGACCCGCGCGCGCGGGGAGCTGATGGGTGTGCGCGAGATGACGCAAGGCCCATCGTGGAGAGTTAATTACCGAACCCCCATCCCCCGTAGAATCTTAACACGGGCGGTCTGCGGGGTCCGCGGATCTGATTTCTTCCGGGTCCCTGTTTTAATTTAATAATATAAATTTCAAACAGGGTAGAAATCGGATCCGCCGTGAACAATAAGACCGAACACGGATCTAGCAAATCCGAAATCGGATCCGCGCGGGCAGAAATCGGATCCACCGAAACACACACCAAAACCAAAATTGGATCCGCGCGACCTTCATTGGATCCGACGGCGGGTATCTCACACGCGTTTGCTTCAGATTTCAAGCCTTCGTTCCGGGCCCAAGAGGAAAAAACTTTCGTCCTGGGGATGTATGACAGAGTCGGAGTCTGCGTGGGTGAGGAAGGAGGAGGCTGAGATGAGCCAGGCGGAGGCGTGACACGAATTACGCTACCGAGGAACCCCACATACTTAGTTTAAATCTTATGTGCTTGCTTAAGTTTTTAATATATGCGCAATTCTGCGTTCTCAGCCCTCGTCGCGAATGTTCCCCTCTGTGTCATCCAACGCCGTATTGCTTGAACCCCCTCCCTCTTCCTAGCCTTCTATCCTCCATCAAGGACAGATTCGAGCCAGCCAGCGGCCGCGCTCAGGGACCACCACCTGCGCACCCCCTATGGTGTCTAGAAAGTGCCACGCCTGCTATGCCTGGACGACTGGCACGGATAGCGGCCGAGCTCAGGGACCACCCCCTGCGCACCCCCTATGGTTTCGAGAAAGTGCCACGCCTGCTATGCCTGGACGACTGGCACGGACAGCGGCCGCGCTCGGGGGCCACCCCGTGCGCACCCCCTATGGTGTCGAGAAAGTGCAGCGCCTGCTATGCCTGGACGACTGGCACGGATAGCGGCCGCGCTCAGGGACCACCCCCTGCGCACCCCCTATGGTGTCGAGAAAGTGCCACGCCTGCTATGCCTGGACGACTGGCACGGATATGGGACCACCCCTGCGCACCCCCTATGGTGTCTAGAAAGTGCCACGCCTGCTATGCCTGGACGACTGGCACGGATAGCGGCCGCGCTCAGGGACCACCCCCTGCGCACCCCCTATGGTGTCGAGAAAGTGCCACGCCTGCTATGCCTGGACGACTGGCACGGATAGCGGCCGCGCTCAGGGACCACCCCCTGCGCACCCCCTATGGTGTCTAGAAAGTGCCACGCCTGCTATGCCTGGACGACTGGCACGGCGCGCTCAGGGACCACCCCCTGCGCACCCCCTATGGTGTCGAGAAAGTGCCACGCCTGCTATGCTGGACGACTGGCACGGATAGCGGCCGCGCTCAGGGACCACCCCCTGCGCACCTCCTATGGTGTCGAGAAAGTGCCACGCCTGCTATGCTTGGACGACTGGCACGGACAGCGGCCGCGCTCAGGGACCACCCCGTGCGCACCCCGTATGGTGTCGAGAAAGTGCCACGCCTGCTATGCCTGGACGACTGGCACGGATAGAGGCCGCGCTCGGGGACCACCCCCTGCGCACCCCCTATGGTGTCGAGAAAATGCCACGCGTGCTATGCCTGGACGACTGGCACGGATAGCGGCCGCGCTCAGGGACCACCCCCTGCGCACCCCCTATAGTTTCGGGAAAGTGCATCGCCTGCTATGCCTGGACGACTGGCACGGATAGCGGCCGCGCTCAGGAACCACCCCCTGCGCAACCCCATGGTGTCGAGAAAGTGCCACGCCTGCTATGCCTGGACGACTGGCACGGATAGCGGCCGCGCTCAAGGACCACCCCCTGCGCACCCCCTGTGGTGTCGAGAAAGTGCCACGCCTGCTAGCCTTTGCACCCCTGCGCACCCCCTGTGGTGTCGAGAAAGTGCCACGAGCTGTGCTGTGCTGTGCTGAGCTGAGCCGTGCTGGGCTGTGCTGAGCCGTGCTGAGCTGAGCCGAGCTGTGCTATGCTGAGCTGAGCTGTGCTGTGCAGTGCTGAGGTGAGTTGAGCTGAGCTGAGCAGTGCTGTGACGAGGGGGGGAAGAGTGAAGTGTGTGTGTGTGTGTGAGTGAGTGAGGGGAGGAAGAAAGAGAGAGGAGTGGAGGTGTGAGGAGTCGCGGGTGCGGCGCGGCAGGGAAGAAAACCAGAACCCCACGAAGCATGTGGGGAATAACGAGAATCCCATATGTAGGATGTGGCGCAAAGGCACACCCTCTCCGACATCATCAGTATCCTCCTGCTCGGGATTCCCATGTTCCCCTTCCTCCTCGGACTATTCGATGCCTCGTCCCTGTCCCCCTCTTTCGCCTCTCCCTTCTCCCCCTCCTCTTCCTCCTCGCCTTCCCATCCCCTCCTCTCCTCGCCTTCCTCCCCTCCCCCCCCCGCCCTGGTCAGGAATGTCCTCCCTGTTCCTTCCCGCCTCCTCGGGATGTCCCCACGCGGCCGCCCGCGTGCGTGCCCCATCGCGGGGCAGGGGGCTCCCCCTCGGACCAACTCGTTTTCTTGTGACGGACTCTGGTCCCTCCAAATGCTATTCCTGGGTACTCCTCGGGGTGTGTCCCATGCCCCACCCCCTCCCCTCCTCGTCCTCCCGTGCGGTGCTGGCCGCTCCGCGAGGGGGCAGCGAGCAGAGGCTGGCCGGGGATGCCTCGCCCGAACGTGCCAGCCGCGACGGCCTCCGCCCTCGAGAGCCCTGCCGTGGCCGCCGGCGCGGCCTCTGCCCCCCTGTGAGGTGCCGAGGCCCTGCCGTGGCCGGGCACTCCGCGGCCCTGCCGCCCTCGCTTTGATGGCAATGAGGATGCGGATAATGCCGATGGTGATGATGCTGATGCTGGTGGTGCTGCTGGTGCTGATGATGATGGTGATGCTGATGGTGATGGTGATGATGATGGTGATGCTGATGGTGATGATGGTGATGCTGATGATGATGATGATGATGATGATGATGATGATGATGATGATGATGATGATCATGACGATGATGATGATGATGATGATGATGATGGTGATGCTGATGGGGATGAGGATGAGGATGAGGATGCTGCTGATGATGATGATGGTGATGCTGGTGCTGATGATGACGGTGATGCTGATGCTGATGCTGATGGTGATGATGCTGATGCTGCTGATGATGATGATGCTGATGCTGATGGTGATGAGGATGAGGATGAGGATGCTGATGATGCTGATGATGATGAGGATGCTGTTGATACTGATGATGGCGATTATGCTGAGTATGATGATGAGTATGGTGGTGATGATGATGCTGCTGCTGCTGATGATGATGATGATGATGATGATGATGATGATGATGATGATGATCGTCACCATCACCAGCATCATCATCATCATCATCACCATCATCACCATCACCATCACCATCACCATCATCACCATCACCCTCACCCTCACCCTCACCATCACCATCACCATCACCATCATCACCATCATCATCACCATCATCATCGCCATGACCATCCCCCCCCCCCCCGCGGACCCGCCGCCCCGCAGGAGCCGCCCCCGGCCGCCCAGCCTCTCGCTGCCGGCGGCTGGGCGCCCCCCGCCGCGGCGCCGGGGCCGCGCGGCGGCGGCCACTGGGCCGGGGTGAAGGTCGAGCCGCGCAGCAAGGCCGGCCCGGGCGGGGGCTCGCGCTCCACGCCTGGCAGGGCTCACGCTTCTCCACGCTTCGCGTTTGGCTCACGCTTCCTTCTCGAGGAGGAGGAGGAGGAGGAGGAGGAGGAGGAGGGGGAGGAGGAGGAAGAGGAGGGGGAGGAGGAGGAGGAGGAGGAGGAGGAGGAGGAGGGCGGAGCTTCGCGTTTGGCTCACGTTCAACGAGTCGACGGGGTAGCCCGATTCAGCGTCGATTCGCGCCGATTGGCGTCGATCTGGCGTCGAGTTGGCGTCGATCAGCGTCGACGTAGCGTCGAGCAGCGTCGAGTCGCAAGAGCCAACAACATGGTATGGGAGGCTCCCACGAGTTGCCACAGAGGGGGGGGGGGGAAGGGTCGGGGCTCACGCTTCACGGGGGGTCAGCGCTGACGGGGGTGGGGTGACCCCCTCCCTCTGGCCGGCGTGGGCGGGGGCTGACGTTCCACGCTTGACGGGGCGCACGCCTCACGTTTGACGTGTAACCGGGCTCACGGCTGGCCGCGCCGCTCGCTCGGGGAGCGATCCGTCACCCCTGAGCCGCTCGCTCAGTCCGCCCCCTCTTTCGGCCGCGCCCTCCTCCTCCTCCTTCTCCTCCTCCTCCTCCTCCTCCTCCTCCTCGTCCTCCTCCTCCTCCTCCTCCTCCTCCTCCTCCTGCATGGTGGCACAATTCGCCATAACGGCACCCCCATTTAGGACTTTCCGCTAGCGCAGGCTTCCCTTGCCTCGCCGCCGACGCAAAACAAGTACAACCAGACTTGCGTGTAACCCGCAGGGGGGGGGGGGGGGGGGCGACAGCAAGTCATGCGAGCCTGGTGTACCCTTTTGATTCCGTTTTTGGCGTCGACTTGCGTCGACTAGCGTCTGTGAGTCGATTGGATAGCCCGATCTAGCGTCGATCTAGCGTCGATTAGCCTCGGATTTTGCGTCGATTTGCCTCGATTCGCAAGAGCCAACAAGATGGTCTGGGAGGCTCTCATGAGTTGCCACAAAAGGGGGGGAAAGGCTGGGGTTCACGCTTCACGGGGAGTCCGCGCTGATGGGGGTTGGGCAACCCCCTCCCTCTGACTGACCCGGGGTTTGGAAGCCGCGTGTCTAGGCATCTTAGATGGGGTCGTAGGAGATGGCGTCGGTGGATCGCGCCGCATCGCCGATGCATCGCCCGTGCGGCTCGATGTGCAGCCCGATTTGCTTCGCGTCGACGTCGCCGATGCGTCGCCGACGTCGACGAGGCGTCGCCGGTGCCTTCTCGATGCGTCTCCGGTGCATCGCCGATGTGTCGGCGATGCGGCGAGGCCCTCCGACCCCGTCTATGCTCCTCCGAGCCCCGTCCACAGGAGGCCTTTGGCGTGGGGCCGATGCCCCCCCCCTTCCGCCCTCCGCTGGCCCGGGCCCGGGAGCCACCCGGCGGCCGGCGTGGCCTCGCGAGATGGCCCGGGCCGGCCTGAGCTTTTGCTGGCCGAGCTGGTGCGCCCCCGGTGGGGGTGGGGGAGGGGGAGAGTCGGGAGCCTCGAGACGGGGGTCAATGCAAACGGGGGTCAGCCAGGGCATCAGATCCTGCAGGATCCTGCGAAGACCCCCTCTGGCTGACCCTGGTTAGCGAGCCGCTCGTGGCCGCGAGGCGGCCGCGCATGTTGGCTGACCCAGGTTTGCGAAGATTTGCGTTGAAGTTTTTTTGTTTCCTGCATTGCAGTTTTTGGTTATTCCCAGCTGACCCGGGTCTGGATTGACCGGGGTCAGAAGATCCCCGAGAGAGCATGCACGGTGGTTGACGTGGTCGCGTTCTTTTCTGGCTGTTTCTCCTCATCTCCATACCTGTCACTCGCGTTTTCTCTTTCTCTCTTTCTCTCTTTTTCTGTTGCTTCCAACTACGTCTCCGCAAAAAGAATCCGTGCTCTATTCACAATACAAGGAATATGTTGGTACTCCGCCACAAGAGGAATCTTTTCTTAACCCGCCATCAAGTAATTCCTTCTGCGGCGGACGTGCAAGATGGCCAAGGGCGCAGGGGGGTACGGGCTCCCCCAAAAAGAAAAGTATAGCCGGAGTGCAGTATCCCCAAACAGGGTTTTTAAACCCACTGCGGTTTCCAAGGTCGATTGCGTGCCCGTCCAGTGCGGGCTGGCATGGCAGGTTAGAACATGATAACATGATGTTTGCACATGAGATGCTTACACGAAAACTTGTGTGACGCATGCCTCTCAGGAAGCTAACGCTAGAGGGTGTCGTACTCTCTTGCTCCTGGTCGACGAGTAAGCTGTCGGGTCGGCACTGTGAGAGGCTCCACCGCCATGCTGTGAACTCGGAAGCAACTGTAAGAGGAAGCGGGGGAGGGCGCGGAAGCGGGGGCGCATGTCGTGATGGTTCCCCGGGGATGATATCGAGAGGTACGCGGCGCACGTCTCTCAAGAAAAATCGTGACGACGGATGTCTGGGGAGGGCAGAAGGCAGGGCGCGCATGACGGATGCTGAGGCGGCAGAAACGACGACGACGGGGACGGGGAGGCGGAGGCAGAGGCGCAGCAGCGAGAGGCGGGAGGAGGGAGGAGGGAAGAGGGAGCCAGGCGGGAAGCGGGAAGAGGGAGGCAGGAGAAGGAATGAGAGAGGTTGTGATTGGAGCCCCTGTGCTACGAAACATCTCAGGCAGAACGGGCCAGACCATCTCGCGCGCAACATCTTCGAGCTTCGCATTGTGAGGCTGGCTCAAGCGAAACGGACCGGACCACCTCGCGAGCGACATCTTGGAGCTCAGTATCGGAAGGATGTCTCAAACGAAACGGGCCGGACAACTTCTCGCACACGTTCTGACAAGTCCACGTCACACTCGCTTCCCGTTAGGTCCTCCTCCTCCCTCCTCCTCCTCCTCTTCCTCCTCCTCCCCCTCCTCCTGCCTGCTCCCTCATCCACATCCTCCTCCTCCTCCTCCTCTCCTCCTCCTTCTCCCTTCCATCCTCTCCTTCTCCTCCTCCTCCTCCTCCTCCTCCTCCTCCTCCTCCTCCTCCTCCTCCTCCTCCTCCTCCTCCACCTCCTCTTCATCCCGAACGGCATTTCGGAGCCTAGAGTTGCGAGGATGTCTCCAGCGTAACGGGCTGGACCACCTCTCGCGCGGCATCTCGGACCCCAGAGTTGCGACGATGTCTCGGACGAAACGCTGCGAGGACGTCTCAGGCGAAAGGGGCTGGACCACCCCGAGCGCGGCGTCTCAGAGCTACGAATTGCGGGGGGGGGGCCGCCTGGGGCCTCCTGGGGCATCCTGGGGACCTTCTGGGGCTTCCTCCTGGGCCTCATGTGGCCTCCTGGACTCCACCTGGGGCTTCCTGAAGCCTCTTGGGGCTCCCAGGGGGGGATATCTAACATGTGCCCGTTTGGGCCCCTCAAATGGGGGTGGCCACAAGAGCAGGAAATCAACGAATCGACACCGGATGTGTATCAACTTGACACGTTCTGATAGGGGGCCTCCTGGGGCCTCCCGGGAGCCTCCTGGGAATCTCCTGGGGGCCCCTGGGGCCTGTCCTGGGTGTCCTGCGGCTCTCTGGGGCCTCCTGGGGCTCCCAGGGTCCCAGGGAGGATATGTAACTAACATGTGGTCTTCTGGGCCCCCAGACTAGACCACCTCTTGCGCGGCATCTGGGAGCTCAGAGTTGCGAGAATGTCTTGTGCGAAACAGGCCGGACCACCTTGCGCACGGCATCTCAGAGCTCAGAGTTGCGAGGATGTCAGGCGAAACGGGCCGGACCACCTCGCGCAGGGCATCCCAGAGCTCAGAGTTGCGAGGATGTCTCGGACGAAACGGGCTGGACCACGTCGCGCGCGGCATCTCCGAGGTCAGAGTTGCGAGGATGTCTCGGGCGAAATGGGCTGAACCACCTCTTGCGCGGCAGCTCAGAGCTCAGAGTTTCGAGGATGTCTCAGGCGAAATGGGCCAGACCACCTCGCGCGCGGCATCTCAGAGCTCAGAGTTTGGAGGACGTCTCAGACGAAACGGGCCGGACCACCTCTCGCGCGGCATCTCGGAATGCAAAAGCGCGAGGATGTCTCAAGTGAAACGGGCCAGACCACCTCGCGCAGGGCATCTCAGAGCTCAGAGTTTGGAAGATGTCTCAAGCGAAACGGGCCGGACCACCTCTTGCGCGGCATCTCGGAGCCCAGAGTTTCGAGGATGTCTCAGGCGAAATGGCCTGGACCACCTCTTGCGCGGCATCTCAGAACTCAGAGTTGCGAGAGTGTCTCAGGCGAAACGCGCCGGACCACCTCGCGCACGGCATCTCAGACCTCAGAGTTTGGAGGATGCCTCAAGTGAAACGGGCCGGACCACCTCTGGCGCGGCATCTGGGAGCTCAGAGTTTTGAGGATGTCTCAGGCGAAACGGGCCGGACCACTTCTCGCGCGGCATCTGGGAGTTCAAAGTTTCGAGGATGTCTCAGGCGAAACGGGCCGGACCACCTCTTGCGCGGCATCTGGGAACTCAGAGTTTGGAGGATGTCTCACGCGAAACGCCCAATCCCGGACAACTCAGAAACGAGAGTTGCGAGGATGTCTCAGGCGAAACGGCCCGGACCACCAATTTGTTTGAGGACGTCTCTGCTTTGATTTCCTTCGGCCGGAGTTTGCTTCTATCACAACAGCACCCCGTTCAGCAAGCTGTTTGGGGAAACATTGGGAAAAAAGCCGCATGGGATTTTCACGTTGTTTGATGAATTTGAGTTTTTGGGCTACCAGCAACGCCACAAAAGGAATCCTTTCGTAATCCACCGCAACGGGAATATTTTTGTAATCTGCCACAGAAGGAATCCTTTCGGACTCCGCCGCAGCAGGAATCCTTATGCTATCCGCCACAAACGGAAGCCTTTGTAGCGGACGCACAAGAGGACCGAAAACTCAGGGGTACCAAAGAACATAAAACACGATAAAAAAAACAGGGAACAAGAAAACAATAAATCACACGTATGGATCTCGCACGTTGATGGGATATTTGTTGTGCACCCAGCCACGCCACAAACAAGGAATCCGTCCGCAATCCGCCACAGAGAGAATCCTTCTGTAAGCCGCCACCAAAGACATTTTTTTTCCGTTGAAGGAATTATTTTGTAATCCGCCGCGCAAGGAGTTCGTTGTAGCGGACGCACACCATGACCGAGGGCCCAAGGGTACCAGGGATAATCGAAGAAACATAAAGAACCAGGAAACGGACAACTAAATAATAGCACGTATTGAACTCGCACGTTGTTTGGTTTATTATGTTGCACAGGGTGTCTAGAGCACCGACCATTTTTTGCCGCGTCGCACCGCACCCCCTCCCCGCCCCCCTCTTGCCCCTCCCTAGCGTTCCCCAGCGGCCCAGTGGAACCTCCGCCCAGTTCCCCTCCGCGCAGTGGAACCCCCGCCTAGTGTCCCATTTTATTTCGCGTCGCACCGCGCCCCCGCCTTCCCCGCTCCCTTCCCACCCCTCCTCAGCGGCCCAGTGGACCAGTGGAGCCTCCGCCCAGTGCCCCCTCCGCTCCGACAATTTTACCCCGCGTCGCACCGCGCCCCCCCCCCCCCCCTCCCCGCCCCCCTCCTACTTGTCCCCAGCGTTCCCCAGCGGCCCAGTGGAACCTCCGTCCAATGCCCCTTCACCCCCACAAGTTTATTCCGCGTCGCACCGCCCCCCCCCATGGAATAGTCGGATTCACTTCCAGTGTTCGACGGAAGCAAACTGGATGAGTCATCGAAGAAATAGAACCCGAAACTCCCAAATCAAAAGGCGATGCAAATAGTATGGATATAATCGATAGTCTGCGGTTTCGTCGCGCTCAGTTGCGGTGTCCTTCCACCGACGAAATCCGAAATGACCAACATGTGAAGGATAAGACACCCACTGTGGTCCTCGCTGGTGGGTGAAATTCCGAATGTGTCTAAACGCTTGCCAGTTGGTAACATGGAGGCCACATGCGAGTGTGCTGAAACTGAATTCCGCAGTTTTTCTTAACAAAAAAGAAGCCATGACACGTATTTCAAAAGTACAAACGCTCGACAAATTTTAATCGTAAGTTAGATGCAGTCGCGTCGTCCTTGGACACCCACTTTCCACGAGTTAAGGATGTCATCATAATTCCTTCATACAGAATTTACGTCATTTGAATGATTCACCAATGGATGAACCCATCATACCAACATACTTTAAATTTGTTCCCGATCCTCAGGGTTGGCAAAGCGGGTCAGGGCTTCATATGCACACGCCTTGGCGGTCGCGGACTCTCAAGGGAGGCCCTTGAGAGTGCTGCCCTTGACGGGCCTCCCCCGCCTAGACAAGCTTGCGCACAGGTCGCACAGGCTCTGGTTGATGCGGAATTCGCTCGTCAGGTGTCCGTCGCGCGCGGCTATCGGTTCTACGAAATTTCGTTTGTTGGGAGGGCTGGGCCGCGGCATTCCCTGCAACAGCGACGCCAGCAAGACCCTGACGCTGCTCAGAGAGGGAAGGATCCATCCACCAACCGAGTGGTGGGTCGGAGCCTTCCGCCTCACGATCTCAATCGTTTCGCTGGGTTTTTTAATCCCTGAGCGGCGTGGTTCATCTAGGGGCATACGTTTCCGCAGTTCGAATCGAAGGATCTTGATGGATGTGGAGGATGTAGCAGGGAGGAAGGGGGTAAGAAGGATGAGGGGGGAGGGGGACCGGGGATGGGTACCAGTAGGAAGAGGAGGCGGCCGACTTCCGCTTGGACGCGCTGTTTTCTTTCTTCTCCGCTCCTTATCTTCCTTATTCCACTCGCTCTCCACCCTCCCGCTCCGCCGCTCTTCTTGCTGCTCTTCTCCCTCCCCCGACTCTGCCCTCCCAGCATCTGCCCTGCTGTCCTCTGCTGCCTCACCTCCGCAGGGAGAGGACCTCTCCGAGCCGGAGAAGATAGAGAGGCCGCGGCCATTGCCGGTTGGCCTCATCGGGGTGAGCTTTGGGCCCAGTGGTGGCTTTTGGTCAGTGAGCGTTTTGATTGGCATTTCATCGATAAGAGCATTTGTGGGTGGGAGTTGTCGAGCGCGTTTCCACTGCACGTGTTCTTTGTCTGATCGGCTCGCTGCCATACTTGCCCAATGCTCGCGTACGAAAAGCGCGCACTCCTAGGACCGAGATAGGATGCTACCACGAGACATGACGGGGTGATGCACACCTGGATGGAAACAACGATTGAAGAAGTGTTCAGCATCACGTCTTTTCAGTTCGCACTCGTTTGCACGCTTTTGACTGCCACTGGCGTGACGTCATGTGTTGCGCACTTGGGCCACACCCGTCCCGTCCCAAGAGGGGGCGCTGCCCTTCTCTCCGCTGGCATGCGGCACGCCCCGCCATCGCACAAGGGCAGCATCAAAACGCACGCAGGAAGGCTATACGAGATTACCTACACGACCACCCTTCGGGTGATAAGGATGTTCGGGGGGAGAGGAACCAACGTCTCACTCGATCGGTCTCAGTATCGATCTCACTATCGATCTCACTATCGGTCTCGCTCGATCGATCTCACTCGGTCGGTCTCACAATCGATCTCACTCGATCTATTTGATTCGATCGATCTCACACTCGATCTGACTATCGATCTCACAACACATCTCACTATCGATCTCACTATCGATCTCACAACGTATCTCACATTCGGTCTCACAATCGATCTCACTATCGATGTCACAATCGATCTCACAATCAACGTCATCACCAGCATCACCAACATCATCGTCATCAACGTCATCAACATCATCATCATCATCATCATCATCATCATCATCATCATCGGGACACCATCATCATCACCTAATCACCATCATCGTCACCATCACCATCATCATCAACATCATCGGGACACAATCATCGTCACCATCATCATCATCGGGACACCATCACTGGGACACCATCATCATCATCGGAACACCACCATCATCATCATCTTATCACCATCATGAACAACACCATCACCATCACCATTACCGGGACATCATCCACATCATAATCAGTAACATCATCATCGTCATCAACATCATCATCATCGGGGCACCATCATCACCGTCACCATCATCATCATCATCATCATTGGGACACCATCATCATCACCAACATCAGCATCATCATCATTATCGGGCCACCATCATCAAAATCACCACCATCACCTCATCATCATTTTCATCATGAACATCATCGTCTCAATCGGGGCACAATCATCGTCATCATCATCAACTTCACCATCATCGGGACACCATCATCATGATCACTATCATCATCATCACGAACATCATCATCATCAACCTCATCATCATCGGGACACTATCAGCATCATTTTCACCATCATCATCATGCCATCATCCCATCGTCACGAACATCGTCAGGATCATCATAATCATTATCATCATCGGGACACCATCATCATCATCAACATCAGCATCATCAACCCGTTCATCATCGGTGGGGCACCATCATCAGCACCACCATGGCTTCATCATCATCACCATCATCATCGGGACACCATCATCGTCACCATCAGCATTATCATCATCATCATCGGGACACCATCATCATCATCATCATTGGACCACAACCATCATCATCATCTCACCATCATCATGAACAACATCATCAACATCACCAACATCATCATCATCATCATCATCGGGACACCATCATCATCATCAGCAACATCATCCTCATCAACATCATCATCATCATCGGGACACCATCATCATCAGCAACATCATCACCATCATCATCATCGGAACAGCATCACCATCATCAACATCAGCATCATCATTGGGCCGCCATCATCAAAATCATCATCATCACCTCATTATCATCATCATCATCAACCTCATCATCATCATCGGGACACCATCATCGGAACACCATCATGACCATCACCATCATCATCAACAGCATCATCATCAACCTCATCATCCTTGGGACACCATCATCACCATCATCTTCATCTTCATCATCATCATCATCATCATCTCATCTTCATCAACATAATCATGATCATCATCATCATCATCATCATCATCATCATCATCATCATCGGGACACCACCATCATCATCAGCGGCAACATCAGCATCAACAACATCGTCATTATAGAGACACCATCACCATCACCATCATGGCCGTCATCATCATCATCACCACCATCATCATCATCATCAACAACATCGTCATCATCATCACCATCATCATCATCATCATCATCATCATCATCATCATCATCATCATCGGGACACCGGCGGGACACCGGCCGGACACCGCGCGGCACCGGTTGCCGGAAGGGAGACTTTTGGTCTGGCCGCGCCTCAGCCAGAGGCGGGACACTTCTCGCCCGCCCACGCAGCTTCGCCCCGCCCGCACGCACGGCACGCACGAACACGAAACCGAAACCGATTTCCCGGTAGGGGGGCTCTCGGTTCCACTTCGATCTCACCCCCTCACCTCCGATCCCAAAAACAGGCACTGTCGCTCCTTATTGGGACATCGAGAGGCATCGCCGCGATGCTGTAGAGGGGCGTGATCGTCAACTTTGTTTCGTGGCGTTGCGCTTGCTCTTGCGGCAGGAGGGGCAGGGACGCGGAGGGCCCACGGGTCCGTCTGCCAAAGGACTGGTGGTTGGGCTGGTAGATTGGCACGGGGGGGAAATCATAGGAAACGAGAGGTGGTGATGATGAGGGAGCTGGACGGATCATTATGGATAGTGGGAAGCAAGGGCTACGGTAGGCTCGTGCCGCGTCGACGCGGCAGCGACCCCAGCGCAGGCGTTCAAGGTTGAACGCCGCCACTAGGCGGAAGTTGCCGTTGTCGGGCGATCTGCGCTATCAAATCCGCGAGCGCAGGTCGTCACGACATGAGCCTGCCATGGGGAGGCAAGGGCCAGGAGAGGGAATAGTAGGAAGGAGGAGTGGACGGGCAGCGAGGAGGGAGTGGGACGTAGCGAGTGTGAGCGTGAGGGGACTGGTCAGGGATTGAGATCTGGGAGGAGTTAGAAGGGATGGAGTGTGAGGATGGAGGAGGGATGGATGGGAGGAGAGGGGAAGAATGAGGAGTTGGGGGGGGGGGGTCACTGGCCCGTCGAGGCGGGTGATGTGGCTGAACCGCAACGGCCGGCTAGCGAAGCACATGGATCCCGGCGAGGTGTTGCCTGCGCTTGATTGCATCGGCTTCCGGCAGGCGATGCGCGTTCTACGGCGCCTGGAGGCCGACAACCTCCACCAGCCCACCTCTCTCACCCTTCACCCGTCCCCCTCTCCCTCCCCTCACCATCCCCTCTCCCTCTTTCCCCCTATCTCCTCTTACGCTTTCCCTCCCTGTCCTACCCTTCCCTCCCTCCCTCTTCCATCCTCGTTTTTCGCTCTCCCGATCTCCCTCTCCCCCTCGCTCGCGCTCTCCCAGCGCATTCCTTCTCCTCCTCTTCCTCTCCCTGTTCCTCGCCCTCCCCATCCCCATCCTTCCCCTTCCGAGATCCGTCCTCTCCTACCCTTCCGCCTCCACTTTTGAGCCGGAAGGTCCAGAAACGATTCGTGGTGTTTGGGTGACCCCCCGATGTCTGGTTTGAGTGAGCGCTTCTCTTCTTCCTCATTGTCATTCCGACCTTCATTTCCCTGATCAAACTATCCTCATAGTTTCTCATCGTCATCATCATCATCCTGCTCCTAGCACGTCCTTACTATCATGTTCCTCCTCCTTGTCATCTTGCACCCCCTGCTGATCCGCCTCCTTTGGTGCAAGCGTCTCTTCACCATCCTGCTCCTCCTGATTCTACCCCTTTCTCACCCTCATCCTGCTCATTACTCCTCTCTATCTGTCCCGCTCCCTCTCTTTCTTCTTGCTCCCTCTCTCTCTCTCTCTCCTCCTGTCTCTCCTCCTCCTCCTCCTCCTCCTGCCCCCGCACCCCTTGACCCCGCTTTTCTGGTCTGCCTCTCCTCTCCCCCTCGCTTCCAATCCTGCTCTCCTCGCAGGGGAGCACGCTGTGTGCACGTGCGGGCCTAACGGGGTGTGGGGGCAGGAGGAGGGCAGGCGCTGCCCGGGAGAGCCCCGCGGTAATACCTTGACGGTGCGTTCTGTTTCTGGACTGCCCTCGCCCGGACCGTACCCCTTTGCAGAGGAAGCAGCCGCCACCGTGGCCGACCCAGACGAGTTCGTCAAGGACCTCGTCGCCAGATCTGGGTGGATCTGGTCGAAGCCCGACGTCATCGACGACGACGAGAAGGCCCGGCGAGCCGGCGCCCCTCCGTGGGCCCAGCTGTGCACGTGCAGTCGAGAACGTTCGCAGCGGTGCAGTGCAGAGGGAGCGTGAGCGTGTGGATCATCGCCGGAGGGGCGACGCAACAGGAACGGGGCCGTCTGCGCCGACACCGGCGCGCACGCTGCCCGCGCAAGGCCGCGCGTGAGCGCCCTGGTCTCCAAAAGTAGCGTGCCGCGCTGGCGGCCCGCGTGAGCCGCCGCATGAGGTCGTTGTGGCATCTCGTCTGGAGCCAGCTCAGGCCAGTGGCGACCGCGGTGGCGGCGATTCGGGACTCCCCTCACACGGCCGGATGATGCGGGGCTCAAACAAAGCGAGCGGCGGGACGAATTTGAGATGAGACGCGGGGGAGAGGGGGATGCATGCCTAAGCTTGCTCACTTCATTGTCTCGATTGGGCCTCCTCAGGGCGTTCTTTTCACATCGGAGCCGGGGCGCTCCACACGCGCGAATCCATTTGCTGCCAGACACGTTTGGGCTGGGTCGGGGCGCATGACTTTCGGTGTGTTCTTCTATCCCTCTCCTTTGGCTCGGCGTCGGAGGGGCCCAGTGGGGCCCAGCCCCGAGGCGTCGTGGAAGTCTGAGGGGGGGCGGCCCGGTGCGGCATGATGGGCCAGGGATGCGGCTGGGGGCCCAACTGGGTCCCAGTTGCCTGGGTCGTTTGGGGAGTTGGTGCCGAAGCTTGAGTGCGTTCAAATGTTTGGGCCACGGGCCTTGGCGCGCAAATTGAGCAACCTCTGAGCGTCTCACAAGGAGAAACCGAGTAATGGGAGCATAGACAGGGTGAGGGGGCCGAAGTGGGCGCGTGGCTGAAGTAGGATTCCGGCGCGGATCTCTGCTTCTTGAATTTTCATTTCTAAAGAGTAAGTATTGTTGATCCCCCCCTTCCGGTAACCATTGCATTGTTCAATCGAAGTGGCTCTCCCAGGGCTCGCACCCTGTTTTTTTAAGGGAGGGCGAGGGAGATTCACCAAGCTGCGTTGTTAGCCCCCCGTTTAGAAGAACAGCGGCTCCCGCCTAATGCGTCCTTACAATTGATTCCCAAATCGTGCTCTCGCGCGGGACGTCCACACAATTTATATATGAATCGCGCTCTCGTCTGGGACTTCTTCGACGCCGCGTCCTCGACACTCAGGAATCACGCTCTCGCTGCGGATTTCCTTTCGATTTACTCGGGCATCGCGGTATCGCTCGAAACTTCCTCGCGATTCATACATGACGCACGCTTCAGCAACCCGCCTGCTCGACCTGGCCTCCTGGGCCCGCCTTCCCAACCCGCCCGCTAGGGTCGACCCACCCGATCTGCCCGTATGGTTTTGCCACGTGTTTTCTGCTCCTGGCCCCCCTCCTGCTACTCTCTCTCTCGTGCTCCATCTTCCTCCCTCCCACTTGTCCATTGTTTCTGTCCGTCCTCTCTTCCCCTGCCTTAGGGGCTGCACAAAGTACACGTTGCAGGTAAGAAAGATGTACCCCCAAGTGGGTACGATCACAGACGATGAGTGCGGGTATCGAGGTTTTGGGATATACGTGTTGAATGGCACGCGGGCAAATCAGTTCGAATTGTCTTAAACTGATTGTTGTTGTTGCTGCTGTTGGTGTTGCTGTTGTTGTTGTTGTTGTTGAGTTCCCGCTTCTAAAGAATATTTGTCGCTGACCCCCCCTCCGGTAACCATTGGAAGTTTCCAATAAAAGTGATCATCCCGGGGCTCGCACACTCTCCTTTACAGGGGAAAGTTGAGTACCAAATTGGGCCCCTGGCCCCCCGTTTACAAGAACAGCGGCTCCCGCCGAATGCTTCCTTAAAATGTATTCCGAAGTCGCGCTCTCGCGCGGGACGTCCTCACAATGTTTCCATGAATCGCGCTCTCGCGTGGGACTCCCCCGCAGTTTATTCAGACGCCGCGCCCTCGACACTCAGGAATCACGCTCTCGCTGTGGATTTCCTCTCGATTTATTCGGGAATCGCGCTATCGCTCAAGACTTCCTCGCGATTTCTGTAGGACGCACGCTTCAGCAACCCGCCTGCTAGTTGTCCCTTCCTTCCATCCGTCCTCTCCTCCTGCCTTAGGGGCTGCACGAAATACACGTTGCAGGTAAGACAGGCATACACCTAAGGGGGTACGGTCGGTGGCAACGAGGGCGTGCATCAAGGGTTTGGGAAATACGTGTTGAATGACACGCGAGCCGATAAGAGTGAACAGTTTTAAATTGATTGTTGTTGTTGCTCTTACTGGCGATGTCGTTGTCCTCGCCCGCGACCCCCCTGCGACCTACCCGTGACCCACCCCGCGACCCACCCGAGGATCTTTGATGGTGATGACGATGATGTTGATGATGATGATGTTGCTGATGATGATGATCGATCATGGTGATGATGAGTATGATGTTGATGTTGATGGTGACTATGATGAAGCCCATGGTAACGGTCTGACGATGATGATGCTTCTTAGTGTTACGATGATGATGGTGGTGATGGTGATGCTGCTGCTGATGCTGGTGCCGATGCTGGTGTCGATGATGCTAGTTCAACAATGCTAATAATGATGATGAGGATGACGAGGATGATGATAATGCTGAAGATGATGGAGGTGATGGTGATGGTGATGGTGATGGTGATGGTGATGGTGCTAATGGTGCCGCTGATGCTGATGATGCTGATGATTACGACGACGATGCTGATGGTCATGATGATGGTGCTGGTGATGATGATGATGCTGCTGATACTGATGATGATGATGCTGCTGCTGATGATGATGATGAAGTTACTGTTTGTGCAGATGATTGCTAATGATGACAACGGCGACGCCGATGTTGGTGATCATGGTGATAATAACTACGATGATGATGAGAAGGAAGAGGAGGATGGTGGTAGTCATGATGATGATGATGATGGTGATGGTGATGATGATGATGATGATGATGATGCTGATGATGATGATGATGATGATACTGATGATGATGATGATGATGATGATGATGATGATGATGATGATGATGATGATGATGATGATGATGATGATGATGAGGGGAAGGACGAGGAGGGGAAGGACGAGTGTAATTGCCAGCCGAGAACTTAGGGGGTAGCATTAAAGACCCTCCGAGGTTAAGACGTGCGTGAGTGCTGAGATTTACCCACCCTTCAAGTGGAGCCCGCTCGAGGGGCCGCGATTGGTTCGGCAGTTGATTTTTTAGATCGCTTCGCTCATTCCGCCGGCCCATATTGCCTCGCCGCTGTCGTTTGTCGGGGTGTTGATGTCAATGCGGTGCGGTTGTGCGGCTGCCATTTTTCGGAGGCGGTGGGTGGCGGGTAAGAGGCCTCATGGATTGTGGTTGGGCTCTCGTGATTGGCCTCTCAGGGGCCTTTGGGACGCAGTTTTGAGACCTCTTGGGGGACGTGTTGGGGCCTCTTGGGGCCTCTTGGAGGCATCTTGGGGCTTCTTGGGGTGCCTCTTGGGGGCCCCTTGGTGCCTCGTGGGGGCCCCTTGGGGCCTCTTAGGGGCCTCTTGGGGGCCTCCTGGGGGCCTCTTGGCGCTGAAGGCTGGACTTTTCGGTTCCTGGTCCCTTTCTTGGGCCCCTCTTGGGGCCGTTTTGGGGCTCTCTTGGGCCGTCTTGGGCGCCTCTTGGGCTGTCTTGGGGCCATCATGGGCCATCTTGGGGCCCTCTTGGAGTTTTCGTGGGCCGTCTTGGGGCGGTCTTGGAAGCCTCTTGGGCCGTCTTGAAGCGCCGGTAAGCCGAAAAGGCGAGAACGCCAAAAACCGTTAGAAACGTGCGGAAAATCACAAATGTCTGCCTCTGTGGGCACTCTTGGGAGGTCTCTTGGAGGCCTCGATCTTGGGGCATCTTGAAGGCGCTTTTGAGCTGTCTGGAGGCAATCTCTGGCGTCTTGAATCGCTCTTGGACCGTCTCGGGCCATGTTGAGCTCTCTTGGAAGCCACTTCAAGCGCTCCTGAAGCGCTCTTGGGAGCCTGCTGGGACCTGGCGGGGACCTGCCCGGGACCTCCCCGGGACCTGCCCGGGATCTTGCCAGGATTTTGCCGGGATTTGCGGGGGTACTTTTCGTCCGGGGACCCCCCGGGGTGGCCCCGCGCGCGCGAACCAAAAATATTGTTAACCAGTTACCGGAGATCTTAGCACGCCCTTGGCCCGTTGGGCCGGCGAATTTTGTGTGCATAGGCACACTGTGGGCACATAACAGGTTCGCCAAGGGCCCCGCCCATGAGGATGGCTGAGAGACGTGCAAGTGCTACTTTTGGTCATTGAGTTCGAAGTCTCGGGACCTTTGGGGCGAGCGTGGACCGCGCTGGGGGTCGTGCTTACTTGAACCCTCTCAGAGTTGATCGGTTTTGCCCTGGAAGTGTCCCGGCTCCTGACTGGAAGCTGCGACCCCCCAAAAATGCCTCTCGTGTCCCTCTGCTTCTGCCGAAGTGGGAAGCCTGGTTAATTACTCGAACATGTACGCGCAGGTTTGTTGCCCGGCATATTGTCCGCCGATCGGACGGAGTTGTCAGGAGGAGGGTGAAGAGCAGGAATGAGGGGGAAGGGCAGAAGGTTGAGCAGGGCTTGCCCAGCCCCACCTCCAGCCCAATCCCCAGCTCTGTCTCCAGACTCCAGCCCCAGCTGTAGCCCCAGCTCCGGTTCGCCCCAGCTCCAGCTTCATTGCCCTTTCCAACTCAACTCCAGCCCCAGTTCCAGGTCCAGCTCTAGCCGCAACCAGGCTCAGCTACGGCTTCAGCTCCAGCCCCAGCTTTCAGGGCTCAGGAGACGGAGGCACTGGGCAGGCTCTTTTCCTGCAATACGTTTTTTGTTTTTAATCGGAAGCGTTTACCCTATTTCATTTTGATTAGAAGTATCTGACGATAGTCGTGCCGTTGGCTGTCAGCTTTCAGGATGTTTCGGGTTGCAGTCGCTCAAGAAACTTCTTGGAGACGATGAGCATCGCTGCAACTTTGCTTCTTCGTGCTGGTCGCCAAAGGTTCTGATGGCTCCCCGTGAAGGTGCGTGGGCTGTGAATGGTCCGAGGGTTTGGGGCTTGCAGTAAGGGGGAAAGTATAATGCAGCGTGACGCCCCTGCCATGCAGTTTTTTTGTCATTGGCTACGCCCAGTCTAGGGGGGAGCTAGTGCAGGAAGTCTGCCAGAAACTGCAGAGACAAAACTGCAACGTAATTTCGTGTTCAGTTCAAAGGCTGTTCGTGCGTGTGTTGTTTGCAACCGTGGGTTGCCGTGCAATCGTGGGCTGCCGTGCCCTCGTTTTGGCGGCCCCCTCCCTCTCATCCTGCTCGCACCATTCACCCTCCCTCCCCCCTAGTTCACTGCGCGCCTCCCCGCTCCGCCTGCCCTTCCCCCTATCGGCCCTCCCCCTCCTCCTCCCCTCTCGTTTCGCGCTTGCCAGGTCCCGTGCTGAGCGTTGTGCCCGTGCCTCCGTTTAGCTGTGCCCCTGTTAGGTTGCTCCAGCCCCAGCTCCAGCTTCGCCCGAGCCCCAGCTCCACCTCCACCTCCTCTTCCAGCTTAGCCCCAGCCCGAGCGCCAGGTCCAGCTCCAGCCCGGCTCCAGCCCAGCTTCAGCCCATTTCAAGCTCCAGCTCAGGTTCACTTCCAGTTCCGCTTCAGCTTTGGTCCAGCCCCGGCTTCAGCTCCAGCTCGGCTCCATCCCTGTGTTCTCGACTGGCATCCTGTCAGTTCCTGTCCACTGTCGAGGTTGCATTTCCCAGGTAGCTGTTATCAGAGCTCGCAGTTCATGTTGCTTGGTTTCTGTTGAGTCACCCCGACTGCATACGCCACGTTTGCACGTCCCAGCTTGAACGCCCCAAGTCATCACACTGCACAGCAACGTGTGCGAAGCACACGTTGCGTAGAGCACAGCTTGTCTTTTTCTAGCAGGGGGGGTCCCATATACTTCCAGTCATTGGCTTATCCGTTTGCAAAACGCGAGTTTTCGACAACCCAGAGTTCGGATTCCTCCTGTACTACTTTGCTACTGGTCAGGGGATGTCAACTATTTGCCCACGCCGATCCCGGCCAAACCAACCCTGGGCCCATGATCGGTGCGTACGTTTTCCTGGCCAAGCCAGGAAGGGCATGAGCATCTTCCTTGGATTCTGGATGGGCCTGGCCTAGAATGGTGGCTAGGTGACGTCCCCCAAGCCGGGTGTTCCCGTTTGCCTAGCCCCGTGCTCCCCAAGCATTTTCCAAGATGCCCAGTGTGATGGAAGCGCGCCGAGGTCGCGAAGCGCGTTGCCTGGATCAACCAGTTCGGCGGGCTGTCGCAGCCTATCGACTACGCCGCGGTGGCAGACATCTTGGATGGACTGAAGGTGGCGAGAGCAGCCTGGCCCTCTATCCTGGGCCATCGGGTCTCCAGATTCGCAGCTGTGTCTTGCTGAGGGCCTCGTAGCGGGGCTGCCACGCCATAGCTCCCTGAGTGGCTAACCCGGCGCCAAGAACAGGCAGAGGTGTGCTGCAGAGGTTGGCATTGGCGATGAAGGAATGACGCGGGGCAACCCGTGACGCACAACGTTTGCCAGAGTGTCGGGATTTGTCAATGCGAACGCCTCCCGAGTGGGAAAACATTGGTTTTGGGCACTGGCCTCGACGCCTTGGGGTTAGATTTCTAGATGCCCTGGACGTCGATGTCGAGATTTGCGCGGTCCTCAGGGCGGAGACTGTTTGCCTACTCATTGCCAGTTTTGACGCCCCAGCGGCTCCATGCGGTTGTCTAAGGGCCGTTTCCCTTTAAGCTGACTAGGTTGGTCGCCTTACGTGGTTGGGTCGTTTCTGGTCTACTAAATCGTGCGTGCTGTGGTGTAGAGGCATGCTACAGGTTGAGGAACCGTTATCTGAATGATATAAGGAGGTTGTTTGACCACCTGCTTTGCCCGTTTGGCGACCTGCATTGGCCAACCAGAGGGGCCATACACAAGCGCAGGGTTGGCCTTCTTGTCCGCTCCCCAGGAGAAGGAGCAGGAGTACGACCAGGAGAAAGGACCAAGCACGCTCAGGAGGAGGCCGAGGAGGAGGAGCAGGCGGTGGAAACCGAGTCGGAGGAGGCCAGAGGATGAGGCGGAACGGAGAGATGAAGTGGTCGGGAGATCGGGAGGGAGAGTCAGTGGGCGAACACCATTCCAGAAATGAAGCAACAGCACTGGATGGTGGACATTCCAGTATCGCACGCGGTGGGACGAAGCATGGATCTGAGCAGACGCACGAGAAATGTTTGAAACAGGGTGGGCAGCATGGGAGACTCTCTCTCTCTCTCTCTCTTCCTCTCTCTCTCTATCTGTCTCTCTGTTTATCCCTCTCGCTCTCTCTCTCTCTCGCGTTCCCTGTCTCTCTCTCTCTCACGTTCTCTTATTTTTTTGTTGCTTTCTCTCTCTCTATCCCTCTCTCCCTCTCTCTGTCCCCTCCCCCTTTTTATATCTGTATATCGATATATACACACATCTGTATATATATATAGAGAGAGAGAGAGAGAGAGAGAGAGAGAGAGAAAAAACAAAAAAAATGGGGAGAGGGCCCCAGGGTCCCTGGAGAGTACTGACTTTGTACACGGCCGTTTTGGACCCGTCGGGGAGCGCCAACACGCGTTAAACGAGGGGTCGAGGGGCGACGAGAGGGCCCAGGAGACGTCCAAGAGGGCTCGAAGACGGCCCACAAGCGCTCCAAGAGAGCCCAAGACCGCCCAACACGGCTCCAAGACGGCCCCAAAGCGTCCAAGACGGCTCCAAGAGCGCCCAAAAGCGTCCAAGAAGGCTCCAAGACGGCCCAACATGGCTTCAAGGCAGCCCAAGAGGGCCTCAAGTCGGCCAAGAGGCCCTCAGAAGGAGTCCCACGCGGCCCTCAGGAGGCGAACAATTTAATTGTTCTACGGGTTTTCAAGGCTTTCCGTGTTCTGGCTTTTTCATGCTTCCGACGGCCGAGGACAGCCCACGATGCCCGAGAAATCGGCCCAAGACGACTCAAGCGGCTCCCAAAGAGGGCCCCAGGACGGCCCCAGAGAGCCCCGAGACGGCCCAAGGGCGCTCCAAGGCAGCCCAGAAGGTCCTAAATGGCTTCAAGAGATGTCCAAAAAGACTCCAAGAGCCCTTTAATCGGGTCCCAAACAGGCCCCAAGACAGCCAAAGCCCTCCAAAATGGTCCGGCCTGAGAGGGCGTGAAGTGGCCCAAAAAAGCCCCAAGAGGATACCCAAGATTGCTTGGAGACGCTATATGCATAGATGTTTGCCCGTCTCTTGTGTTTCATCACGTAACGATTCCCAACCACGAAGGGTCCTAAGTACGGACGGTGGTGTGAGTTCAAGACGACCCAAAGAGATTCCCGGGACGCCGAAAAGACAGTTTCAAGGCAGCCCAACCGCTGCTCCAACTGCTATTCTTTCGTAGTGTCATATCCCTCCCCGTCCTCGTCCGTCACATACTCGGACGTTTACCCTGCGACGTGCCCAACCCATCGGCACCAAAGGGTGATATAAGGTGTGCTGACAATAGTGTGACAGTACAACCTCCCAAAAAAACTTGACGCCTGGCACCTAACCTGACGCCGGCCCCGCTGCTGGTGGGCTCCGGTGGCACCCTGGCCAGGGGAATGGCGGTGCCGGTGGGCTGAAGTGAGCGCTTGCGGCGCGAAGGCTCAAAATGAAGCTCCCGCTCGAGGGGCAGCCACATTTGAGGAAGTCGAGTGACAAAATTATGAGGCACACTTTTTGATCTGCGGGGCGAGAGCGAACCTCTTCCGCTAAAAGCTAGGCTAGGAAGTCGAGTGACATGGTTATGAGGCACACGCACAGCAACACAAGCGTTTGGCCCCACATGTCGCTGGGGATGGCGGATGTTGCTTCATTGATGACGACGACGACGACAACCACGACGCCGACGACGACGACGCCGACGACGTCGACGGCGGCGGCGGTGGCGGCGGCGGCGGCGGCAGCGACGACGACGACGACGACGGCGGCGGCGGCGCCGGCGACGACGACGAACGACTAACGACGTCGGCGGCGTCGGCGGCAGCGACGACGACGACGGCGCCGGCACCGGCGACGACGATGGCGATCACAACGGCGACGACGAACGCGACGACGACGACGACGACGACGACGACGACGACGGCGGCGGCGACGACGACGACGATTAACGACGACGGCGACGGCGACGACGAGTAACGACTAACGACGATGGCGGCGGCGGCAGCGATGACGACGACGACTACGACGACGGCGGCGGCGACGACGACGGCAACGACGACGGCGACGGCGACGACGACGACGACAGCAGTGGCGGCGGCGACGACGACGACGGTGGCTGCGGCGACGATGACGGCGACGACGACTAACAACTAATGACGGCGTCGGCGGCATTGTCGACGATGACGGTGGCGACGGCGACGGCGACGGCAGCAGCGGCGGCTGCGACAACGACGATGGCGGCGGCGGCAGCGACGACGACGGCGGCGACGACGACCAACGACTAACGCCGACGGCGGCGGCGGCGGCGGCAGCGACGACGACGCCGACGACGACGACGCCGACGACGTCGACGGCGGCGGCGGTGGCGGCGGCGGCGGCAGCGACGACGACGACGGCGGCGGCGGCGGCAACGACGACAACGACAAAAACGTCAACGACAACTACGATGGCGGCGACGACGGGGGCGGCAGCGGCGACGACGACGGCGGCCGCGGCGGCTGTGACGACGACGGAAGCGGCGGCGGCGACGACGGCGTCGGCGACAACGACGACAGCAGTGGCGGCGGCGACGACGACGAAGACAGGGTGACGACGGCGGCGGCGATGACGGCGACGACAGCGACGGTGACGACGACGACGACGACGGCGGCTGCGGAGGAGACGACGTCGACGGTGGCGGCGGCGACGATGACGGCGACGACGACTAACGACTAACGACGGCGTCGGCGGCAGCGACGACGACGACGACGGCGGCGGCGACGACGACGGCGGCGGCGGCGGCTGCGACGACGACGATGTCTGCGGCGGCGGCGGCGGCGGCGACGACGACCAACGATTACCGACGACGGCGCGGCGGCGGCAGCGACGACGACGACGGCCGCGGCGGGCGGCGACGACGACGACGATGGCAGCGGCGGCGACGACGACGCCGCCAGCGGCGGCGGCGACGACGACGACGACGACGGTGGCGGCGTTGGCGGCGACGACGACGACGGCGGCGGCGGCGACGACGGTGGCGCTGGCGACGGGGGCAGCGACGACGACGACAACGTCGACGGCGGCGGCGGCGACGACGACGGCGACGGCGACGGCGGTGGTGTTGGCGACGGCGACGGCGACGACGACGACAACGTTGACAGCGGCGGCGGCGACGACGACGACGGCGGCTGCAGCAGCGGCGACGACGACGACGACGGCGGCGGCGGCGGTGACGACTGCGGCGGCGGTGGCCTCGGCGACGGCGACGGCGCTGGCGACGACCACGACGACGACGGCGGCGGCGGCGACGCGTTGACGACGACGGCGGCGACGACGGCGGCGGCGGCGACGACGACCACGATGGCGACGGCGGCGGCGGCGGCGCCGGCGACGGCAGCGGCGACGACGATGGCGACGTCGGCGGCGGCAGTGGCGGCGACGACGACGGCGGCGGCGGCGACGACGACGGCGACGACGGCGGTGGCGACGACGACGTCGGCTGCGGCGGCGGCGGCGACGACGACCAGGATGGCGGCGGCGGCGACGACGACGGCGGCGGCGGCGACGACGGCGGCAGCGCCGACGACGACGGCGTCGACGGCGACGGCGGCGGCGGCGACGACGACGAGACCCCGGAGGGCGACGGGGGAGGGTCCAGAAGGGCCGGGCCGCGCCGTGCCTGATGTAGACCATCTGTGGGCCTTGTGTGGAATCGCTTGACCAAGCCGCCGAATAATTCGGGACGGAGGAGGAGAACGAGTAGTAGAAGGAGGAGGAGGAGGAGGGCGAGGGGCGGGCGAGGAGGAGAAGGAAACAAACAAACGGACGAGTAAGAGGAGGGGCAAGAGGGGGAGAGGAGAGAGGAGAGCAGGGAGGGCGATGACGAGGGGCGGGGGGGGAGGAGAGGGGGGAGGTGAGGGAAACGGAAGGGGAGCGGGGAGGGGGGCGGGAACAGGGAAGAGGGGGAGGGAGGAGGGGGAGCAGAAGGACGATGAGGAGAAGGCCGCCCTCGGCTCGGCCCGCCCGCAGGCCATTTCCGCCCGGACGGTTAAGGAGGTGGGAGGGGGAGGAGGAGGAGGAGGAGGAGGAGGAGGAGGAGGAGGAGGAGGAGGAGGAGCAGGAGGAGCAGGAGCAGGAGGAGGAGGAGGAGGAGGAGGAGGAGGATGGGAGGAGGAGGAGGAGGAGGACGACGACGACGAGGACGAGGACGAGGACGAGGGCGACGAGGAGGAGGAGGAGGAGGAGGCCGCCCCCAGCTCGGCCAGCCCGCGCGTCGGCTCGGATCGGCCTGACGAGGGGGAGGAGGGGGAGGAGGACGAGGAGGAGGAGGAGGAGGAGGGAGAGGAAGAGGGGAATCGTGCTCCCGCCCGAATCGTGCTCCGCGCCAGCCACAACCTTGATTGGGGATTGTTTTCCGGCTCCAGCGCAGGTTGCATTTCTGTCTGGGAGTGGTGCTGTCGCCTGCGCGCTGGCCACATCCCTCATTGGGAACGGTACTCTGGCCTCGGCGCCGGTCCCATCTCTAATTGGCTATGTATGGTGTTGCCGCTCGAGCGCCAGCCACACCCCTGATTGGGACTGGTGTTCTCGCCCGAGCGCTGGCCACATCCCTCTCTGAGAGTGATGCTGTCGCCTGCGCGCTGGCCGCATCCTTCATTGGGAACGGTATTCCCGCCTCAGCGCTGGCTGCCTCCCTTATCGGAGATGGCGTTGCCGCTCGTGCGCCAGCCACGATCTTGATTGGGAACGGTACCCTCGCCCGAACGGTGGCCACATCCCTGTCTGGGATTGGAGCTGTCGCTTGCGCGTTGGCAACATCCCTCATTGCGAACGGTACTCTCACCTCAGCGCTGGGTGCGCTGGCCACACTCACCATTGGGAACGGTACTCTTGCCTCAGCGCCGGTCCCATCTCCAATTGGCTATGGTGTTGCCGCTCGAGCGCCAGCCACATCCCTCATTGGGACTGCTGGTCTCGCCCGTGCGCTGACCACACTGATGATGTGCAACACTGGTGCCGTCGCGTGCGCGCTGGCCGCATCCTCCATTGGGAACGGTTTGCACTCACGCATCAGCCAGCGCCGGGCACCTCCTTTATTGGATATGGCGTTGCCGCTCGAGCGCCAGCCACGATCTTGACTGGGAGCGGGACTCTCGCCCGCACGGTGGGCGCGTGCCGGGCGAGTGCCAGCGGGGTGGCGTCAGGTTAATTACCTGGCGTCAGGTTACGTTCAAAAGTGCCGGGTCCACTGCCGGCGGGGGCGGAGTCAGGTTAGGGGCCCTGGCGTCAGGTTAGGGGGGGGGCGCTCGTAACACTGCAAGAGACGGTGCACGGCGGATATCTGTGTCGTGTGAAGTGTGAGTGGCCGACTCACAGAACAGAAGTACAAAAAGCCATGAGCAATTGTATTGGGAAGGAGAAGCAACACAAAGGCATCGAGGTGGAAGAATAATCACTTCGGCCGGAGCAGCGAGATTATGGCGAGGTCTTTTTGGGATCTGCGTGGGACCCCAATTTGCTGGCCCCCCCAGCAGCGTTCGAAAGTGGCGACAGTTTGGCATTTCACAGCCCCCCAGGGATGGCGAGGTCACTGTTGGATCTGCGTGGGACCCCACTGTGCTGCTCCGCCCAGCAGCCCTCGAAAGTGGCGACCGTTTCACACTTAGCAGCCCCCCAGAGATGGCGGGTGCCAGTTGGGTCTGCGTGGGAACCAATTCTGCTGGCTCCCCCAGCAGCCTTCGAAAGTGGCGACATTTTGACACTTCGCAGCCCCTCAGGGATGGCGATGTCCCGTTTGGGCTTGCATGGGGCCCCACTGTGCTGCCCCCCCACCCAGCAGCCCTCGAAACTGGCGACCGTTTCACATTTCGCAGCCTCCAGGGATGGCGAGAGGTCCCGTTTGGGTCTGCGTGGGACCCCACTGTGCTGCCCCCCCCGGCAGGCAGGAGAGCGGGGGGTGGCCAGGAGAAGAATGTAGAGACCCTTTTGCTCTATCCATAACGAGAAACGAACCAAGGGAGGGTTGGGAAAAACGTCGCTTCGAGATGTGGCCAACCGCGGCGACGAGGAGAGCCCCAGAAGACAAACAACTTCGGACCTCGATCCTCGCCTGGGGGCCCAGCACCTCGCTTTTGGTACCTCCTCCCCGGGGCCTCCAAGAGGCCTACAAGAGGCCCAAGAGGCCTCCCAGACAGCCTAAGATACACCCACGACCGCCTAAGAGGAACCAGATGAGCCGAAGACGGCCCAAAAGGACACCAAGAGCGCTCCGTAGCCATTCTGGCTTAAGAAAGACTCCGCTGGACTCTTTTACACGTCTCGTCTTACACTCATATTCGCGATTGCGCTATCCCTTGCGCGACACACTCAGTTGGTGTCGCAGCTTGTCGTGACCATGACTGCTGTTGGAGCCCAACTCTTGGTCCTGCTGCAGCTGCTACGCGTTCACGCTCTTGGTGTCCAGACAAATAGGCACTCCGAGGGCGAGAAGGCGGTAAAGGCCAAGGCGCATAAAGCCGCCCTTGGCGTGATGAACAGGATGGGCGTCACCAAGTACAAGCATCATAGATTCAAGAGCGCCAAGAGGACGGACGGCAAGTTCTGCTGGCCTGACTCCGCCAACCGCGATGGGCAGGTCTACGCTGGTGCGTCGGACCTCACGGACAACGTCTCGTGGGGTTGGCACCACCCGAGCGGAATCTACAACACCATCCCGGTCGGCAGCCCCCTGATCGACGACCAGCTGAACATCTACATCGGGTCCGACGACGCCATCCGGAAGTTCGACGTCATGGGCAACATCAAGTGGAGCTACGCACCCCGAGGCCAGCTCGCAGCGGCGCCCACCCTCGTCGCTGCCAGCAGCAGGCGCCAGGCGGCCCGGATGAAGAGTGACATGAGCGCGGAGGCAGAGGAATTGTTGCGGCCAGATTGGGCCAAGGGCAACGCTTCAGACACAGAGTCTTCTTTCCAGTTCTTCAAGGACTTCCAGGTCGGCGACGTCGTGAAAGTGAAGCCTGGCCTGAGCTACCGGGCGGACGGTAAGGAACTCTACAAGGACGGGGACCAGGGGACGATCTCCGCCTTCGTCCCAGGGGATGGCAAGGACAACAGGGCTGTCATCCAATGGTCGCGCACTGGACACAAAAGCGTGCTGGATCTCCGCGCCATAAAGAACCGCTTCGTGCGTGTACAGACGACGCAGGACGATACTTCGCTGCCTCCAATGATTGTGGGCAGCACCACCGCAGGCTACGTGTTCGCGATCGACCTCGACAAAGGAGAGGAGCTGTGGGCAACCTGGGCCTCGAACGACATCGCTGGGGTCAAGGGGGCTGTGGCGGCCAAGGATGGCATCGTAGTGGTCGCAACCGACAGGTGCACTGACAGGTACTGCTACAGGTATCGCAACCAGACCATGTCCCTCTGGCCGGGCAATTCCTACGTCCGGGGCTTGAGCGCTGCGGACGGCAGCGCCGTCTGGGAATATAAGACAATGGCGCCCGTGTGGAATATGGTCCCGCTGTGGGGCCCAAGCTCCAACGTGTTTTTTCAAGATTACGAGGGCAGGGTGTACAACCTAGACTTGCAGACTGGTGCTGAGATATGGAAGTCCGGAGGCAATATCGGGACGAACACCAACGCGGCCGCCGCATACGATCCTGGCCACAACATGGTGTTCGCCCTCGGCATGGGCTATTACGAGGGCAAATATTGCAATCCTTATGTGGCACCCGGCATCCTTGTTAATTGCAACACATGGCCAGGCGTCAGAGGCTGGATCCGCGGCTACAACGCCACCTCCGGCAGGAAGCGATGGGAGAAAGGGACGCCTGAGCCGCCGGCCAGCGCCGCCGTTGGCATGCTCAACAGCCAGCCTGGTCACACTCGTTTGGTGGTCACCATCGGCCACAACTGCATGCACAACTCCCCGACGCAGATCTGGTCCGTCGATCCCCATAACGGCCACGTCCGGTGGGAGAGGGACGGCCCGACGTTGTGGGCTGGTCACTGTGCTGGCGACAAGGAGGGTGCCGACATCCGCAGGGCAATGGGCGGCCGCGCCGCCTGCGTGCCGAACAGCTGGTCCACGCCGGCAATCGATGCGAACGGTGACGTGTACGTCGGCAACCAGGTTGGAGTTCTGCAGAAATACGGCTCGCCAACCGGGAGGACAGCCGACGTCGCGCTGCTCTCGACTCTGACCACCGGCCACGCCTTCCAGGACTCGGCCATCGCGTTCGGCGAAGGCATCATGGCCATATCGACGTGCACTTCCCTTATTGTCTTGCAGACTTCGGAAGACTACTTGAACACCACGGACACCACAGTCACGGCTCCACCGAACCTTGATGGGGAACCTTATGGCTACAACCCCTTCCCTCCGCCTGCATAATTCGGATATTTGCGCGGATGGCATGTGGCCAGGCGTGCAGAAGGTTAGGAGCGCGGCCGAGTTGTTCCATAGATTGTTCGTTCCGTTTGCACGTTAGGGGCATGTTCCATGGTTCACGACGGGTCATCTATATTGTGCTTGTGTACATGTTTGTTTCCTGCGCCCATCTACGTCAGGCTTGGCAATCTAACCTGCACAGTGTTTCTCCCGCCCATCTCTGTCAGGCCTGGTAAGCTGACTGGAACAGACGGAGAATTGAATTCACAAATGGACATCAAGAGCTCTCAGGATGGCCTCAGCCCGGCTCAAGAGGTCCCCAGGATACCCCAGGAGAGCACCCAGCGCGCCCCAAAGAGGTCGTGATGAGGCCAGACATGTTTTTGAGGTGTTTGAAGGATTTTTGTGTGTTCGCTTTTCCTGGCCTCCGACCGCCCAAGACGGCTCCAAGACGGCACAAGATGGGCCCAAGACGGCCTCAGCACGGCCATCAGAGGGTCCGCAGACAGCCCCAGAGGCCCCCGAATCGACCCCAAAACAGCCCCAAGAGATTTCCAAGATGACCATGCAAGCCCCCAAGAGGATTCCAAAATGGCCCCCAAGAACCAACACCGCATCTCCAGCATGCGTATGCGTCCATCCAAGAGGGTGAAAGAATGCCGAAGGACGGCCGGAGGTGGCTCGAAAGCTCTTCAGCAATGGAGGCAACGTCATCGAACCTGAGGCCCTGCTGGTGCCACCAGGGGGGGGGTCTTTGCACGTGCTCCGCCAGCTGCAGTGACTGCGCATGCATTCAATAGAAAGGTTGTGGTGCCTCTTTCCTCCGTCGTTCCTTGATATTCCTGCAGGTTCCCCGCAATCCGGCGTGGCAGCGCTTGCATCATGTATCAAGGCAGTTTGCCCTGGGTCCTTTGGTATTCTTCGTTCCTCCTGCACGTGCTCCGCCAGCTGGCGTGTCAGCGCGTGCATTGTAGTTCAAGGCATCGCCCCTCCCGCACGTGTTCGGCCAAACAGGCCAGCAAACTAACTACGGCCTCGACGTTTCATCAGATAGCCAGTCAATGGAGTCAAAGCCCCAAGGCTGTTCAGCGATCAACCCGACGAACCCGCAAGCCAAGACTTGTGTGTCGTGACAACGATCTGGCAACCCAGGACGGCGCCATTGGGGCCAAAGACACCTGCCCTCCCCAAGGCAGCGCCTAAACAGCCCCAAGCCAGTCCGAGGAAGTCCTGCGGCATCCAACAACTGGCCCAAGACGGTCACAACCCTTCTCCGACAGCGAGTCGCCCGCAAACCCCGACCTTCCTGTCATCACAGTGCCATGGGTTGGGCTAGAACCTAAGCGCGCGCGAAGTGCATGAGCTTGGCTCTAGTAATATGTATATGTGTATATATATATGTGTATATATAGGTGTATGATTACACATAGATCTACATGTCAGAGTGAGGGCGCCGAACGGTCATTCATTGTCCCTGGGTGCGTGGCTGAAGTGGGGATCCGTGGTGAGGATTATGCTTGTTGCGTTGTTGTTACTGTTGTTGTGGTTGTTGTGGTTGTTGTTGTTGTGGTTGTTGTTGTTTGTTTGTTTCTTTGTTTGTTTGTTTGTTTGTTTGTTTGTTTGTTGTCGTCGTCCCACCCGCGACCCACCCGCGGCCCACCCTGGGATCCACCCCGCGACTTACCCCGCGACCAACCTCGCGACCCATCCCGCAGTTTATCTGCGTCCCAACCCGCGACCCAACCCGCGACCCACCCTGCGACCCACCCGCGACCCACTTGCGACCCACCCGCGACCCACCCCGCGACCCACCCTTGACCCACCCCGCGACCCACCCATGACCCATCCGCGACCCGCCCGCGATCCACTTGCGACCCACCCGCGACCCACCCCGTGACCGACCCGCGACCCACCCGCGACCCATTTGCGACCCACCCGCGACCCACCCACATTGGTTTAACGAACACGTCGGCGCTTGCGACGGGCTCGTTGTATAAGTTGGAACTTTGGCGCCTGCGGCGGGCTTCTCCAGAGTCTCGCAGACTGCCGACGTGCCCACCGCCCCCATCACTCTTATCCGCATCTGCGGTGTGCTACGGTGTATATATATACACCTATGTATATATATATATATATGTGTGTATGTATGTATGTATGTATGTATGCATGCATGTATGTATGTATGTATGTATGTATGTATGTATGTATGTATGTATGTATGTATGTATGTATGTATGTATGTATATATGTATTTGTATGTGTATATAAACATATATATATATATATGTACATCTGTATACGTCCTATATCATACATATATGTCATTGGGTCTCTCATGCGATATATCTCCCCTGGCGCGTCCCCTTGGAACGTCTCTCACGACGCCGCCTCCCACGCAACCGCTTTGGTTAAAGGGGTTCCTGGGAGGGTTACCCACGACAACCCCCTCCAGGGCCGCGGCCCAGGTCGCCCGTCCGAGACGCGGGGTGGGCGGCCGCTGACCTGCGCCCTGGGCTCGCGAGGGCCCCCCAGCGGCGCCGCCCGCTGCCACGCCAGGCTGGCAGCGGCATGTTCGGCGGCGGTGCTGCCCCTGGCGTGGGCGGCGCTGGTCGCGGGGGCGCGCTGGTGGGGCCAGCAGGCGGCCTCCTCGGCGTCGGAAGCGGAGGCGCCGCTGGCGGGTTCGCGGCCCTGCCTCCAGGCGTAGGCGCCGTGTTGCCGCCGCCCCCGCCACCTCGTGGCAAGGCCGCTGGGGCGGCCGCTGGCGGAGGCGCTGGAGACAAGCGCGCGGCCAAGGCGGCTAAGCCCGCCATGGGCGGCATGGGCAAGCCTCCGCTCGCGGGCCGCGGCGGGAAGGCGGCTGCCGCGGGCGCCGCTGCGGGCGGAGGACGTAGCCGCCGCGGAGGGGCCGCCGCGGCTGCTGCAGCCGCTGGTGCCGCCGCCAATGGAGGAGGCGCGCCTGGAGCGGGCGGCGCAGGAGGTGTGGCGCGTGGGTTTCCTGGCGTCGGCGTGCTCGGCGGGCCGCCCGCTGTCGCAGGAGGCGGAACGAGCCCAGCGGGTGCCGCGCTCCCGCCTGCCCCGATCGTGGGCGGCCCGCCTGTGGGCTGGGGCGGCACGGTCCCATGGGCCGCAGGAGGCGCTGGGCTGCTGGGCCTGGCTGGAAGCTACCCTGGCGGTGCGGTCGTCGGTTGGGGGGCTGCGGGGCCTGCCGGTCTGCCCGCGTACGGCGGCGCCTTCGGCATGCCACCGGGGGTTGTTCCTGGAGGCTGCGGCGGAAGACCTGGCCCCTGGGTCTGCCCCCCCCTGGCGCCGCACGCTCTTCAGCAGCTCCAGCTGGTCCCAGGCTCGCGTCTGGAGCTGGTGATGTACGATGCCTGGGGCCAGCCGAGCGGGACGGCCGGATTCTCTGTGACAGGTGCTTGGCCCGCGGATGCTTCGGGGCAGTTCGTCGAGGCTTCGGTGGCGAGTTGCAGCCAGCCCCATTGCTTGCCAGTGCTGCAGGGGCTGTTCGCCATGGGCGGTTCGGTGTTGCACCTATGCGTGCAAGCTGTGGGCACATGCCATCTGGCGACGAAGTGTCCCAACAGGAACGTGGTGCACTCGGACACTGTGCGCTTGAAGGCGGCGCTCGGTGCGGACGACGGGGCTCCAGGCGCAGCTGCCGTGGCCGACGGCCCAGCGGCAGGAGGAGGCGCTGGCGGGGCCGCCGCTGCCGGTGTTGGCGACGTTGGTTGTGCTGGCGCAGCAGGCGTCGGCGCGAGGCCTGCGGCAGGCTCGAGCGGTGACGACGGCGCAGACGGAAACCCGAGGACCGAGGAGCAGCTCAAGAAGGTGATTCACGATCTGCGAGAGAGGCTGAAGCGGAGGCGATCCCTGGCGGAGTCACTCGCCGAGAGGGCCGACGCTGCGCTGGAGGGCCGCAGCAGACGCCGCGGGGAGAACAACAATCGCGATCGTGGCGCCTCAGAAGAGTCGGGCTTTGACGAGGCCTTACCCGCTGGATCCAGCCGCCGAGTACAGCGCCTCGCGCGTTCCGATCCAGGGGCGCCGATGGCCACGGGTCTGAAGCAGATCCGCGAGCACTTGGCACAGCGGGGCGGGGCCGACAACAACGACGAGCTGCACAGCCTGAGCGCGAATGTGGCGCAGTGCATCACGAGCGCGTGGCACGGGGCGCATCCTCAGAGCGAGATGGGGGTGCGGCGCGCGCGAGATGAGGAAGATCGGACAGCGCCTCAACGCGCTCACTCGCGGCGAGCTGCCGCGCCTGGGCAACGTGCTGACGCGGCGCTTGAAGGCCGTCGAGCAGGCGACGATGGACGGCTATTGGCAGGTGGCGCAGCACCTGGAGCTGGTGGATTCCACGGACGCCGGGCTGGCCTCGCAGGGGGAACTCGCGTCGGCGGTGGCGACCTACTCGGACAGCGGCAAGCTGAAGGAGCGCCTGAGCAAGGTGGGCAGCAATGGGAAGCACCCCAAGGGGCTCGGCGAGGGGGGGGGGGGGGGGGGGGGGGCCGCACCAGGGCGCCTCCCCCTGCGACGCTACCCCGTTCGAAGAAGCCTGGAGCTTAGGTGGTCGAGGAGGCGTCGCGGCCAGCGACTCCGCGTCGGAAGGCTCGCTGGCGGCAGGGTCGCTTCCGATTGGGCAAAAGTCGCGGCCGCGGGGCAGCGGGGCGAGGGGCTGGGGCGCAGCCCGCCACGGCCGCGGCAACCGCAGAGGCGCGCCCGCCGAGCCCAGCCAGGGCGTCGCCCTCGCCTCGGCGCGCGCGGACGCCCTCGCCGACCCCCTTGGTGGCGGCCGCGGCGCGCCGGCTGAGCTCTGGGCTGCGTCGAAGGCCTGGCCCGCGCCTTGGGCCGCGTGCGCAGAGCCCGCCACGGCGCGCGATGTTCGCTGATCCCGTGGCGGAGCGCAGCCCAGTCAGGCAGGGTCCCGCGGGCGGGGCGGCCAAGGGAGGTTAGCGACCGTGGGCCCGCGGCGGGTCGAGCGGCCCGCAGCGCGACAAGGG